TAGGCTTTTTCTTAGCATACTGACCCCTACATATGGGCAAAATATAAGCAAAATCGGCGTGAATCACTTGAAACGGTTCCCTCGTGAGTTAAATTATATTGTATGAAAAAACTTGATACGATATCTTCATCTGAATTTTTATCTTGATTGCTAATGAATCAGTTTATAACAGCCAAACCTTCGACTACTCTTCTTATTCTCTCTTGTTATGATATAAGCATGAATTTTCTAGTTTGAAATCTATTAAATTGATTGAGAGCTATCCGATCTGAAATTTCTTCCGTCCTATCACGTTTGTACTGAAAAAGGGTATAGTTTAAAACTTCTCGTGAGTCATATAGGAAAGATATGAAAGAATACAAGAATGTACAAGATTTCAAAGTTTGAAATTTTTCCACATTATAATAAAATACTGATTGTTATGGCAACAAAAAGGAAAAAAACGCTTTTCTAATACCCTATGTGTATTCATAATTGAAGGTGGAAGAAAGAAAATATTATCTGTTTTTTTTTTGTAGAGTTTTCAAATTCGTGATGAAGATTTCAATAATATCTTTAGTGATTTACCATCCAATGAACAATTAATTGTTTGTATGTATTTATTAAATTTCTTAGTTAATCTATTTATTATAAATTTTAGCTTATCCATGTGCATGGCGAAAAGAAATTCTTATGCATGGACGAATGTTTCTTTCAGTTAATTATATATGTTTTTATACATGTTTTCTTAAATGGAAAGAAAGTGTATGTTGTATATTTATTTAATTTTTGTTTTCATTAAAATTTTTATTTCTTAAGTTATCTATTGCATATAAAGATATTGCAAGTGTTACAAGAGAAAAATCAGCTAAAGTACTTCCAAATGCAATTAAATTACGAAAACGAAATCATGAACAATATTTTTTTGCTAGTTTTATACCAAGAGAACGAATTTATATTGCTGTATTTCGTCTATGGCAAAATGCTTTACTTGAACAAGTAATATTATGTTTTATTTTCTTAAAATAATTATGATGTTTTGTTTGTTATCGATTTTTGTAGCCATTAAATTATGAACAATTACGAGCTATTGTTTTTGCTGATCAATTCAATATTGGTGAATCAAGTGAAGATAGTGAAGGATCTATTGAAGGAGAACATCATAATCAATATCCTGTGAATGTAAGTTTAAGTCGTTGTTTTGCTGCACGTTCACTTCAACATCTTCCTTTTCATATCTTAGAAACTGGAGTTAAAAGGTTACTGAGTAAGAATTCTGTCCTAAGAAGATGATAACAACATGTTTTAGGCTCTGGAAAAAAAGGTGATGAACGACATTAACAATAAGGTCTTGTCTATTGTTTTGTGCATTTTAACGTTTGTATGTTTTAACTTTCTGAAATAATCAACGTCAGTATTTCTCAGTTTAGTCAGTTAAATTATTTATTAGAATAATACCAATTGAATCGAATGAGAAGAAAATAAATAACAATAGCGAATAGAAAGAAATAGAGTGCTAGTAATAAGTAAAAAGAGAAAAATATTCTGTTCGAAATGCAGAAATAAGACACATAATTTATCTGACGATCGATTAGCCGAGAAAAGAAGCGATCTTTTGTTGAAGATTATTTCCTTAACGTGTTTCATATTAGGCAAATTATATTAAAGACGACATATGAGTTCTACATTTAAGTTCCAATGGGACCATACGAACGAGCTTATCTTATCATGTTTGAATTGAAAACTTTGACTTTCATGATATCAACTACACAAAAATGTTTGAATTCTTTTTATAAAATAACAAAAACTATTATGATTTATATGAGTAGTTATTTAAAAATCAATATTTAATTATTGGATATTGAAAATGTCCGTAGAGGTGTAAACATTTTTAATCTTAACTATCCATATGATATAGCAATAGCCTAAACTAAATAATACCAAGTGAAAGGATTCGAGTCCATGACCATTTTAATCATTTTTCTTTTACAGAGAGTAAGATATTTCCAAAAAGTACATAACAAAGAATTTTGCCTTGAGATTCTGTCTAAAGGCATTAGATAGTTCTGCATGTTGGTATGAAAACGAACATATCTTTCTTTCTTGAGATCTTCAATTTCCAAGTAGACTCAATTACTGTATCCTCCGATGATAAACTACTTTTCTTTTTTTTTTTTCGAAAATCGAATATCTCAAGAAAGACATGTTCGTTTTCGTAGTTTTTTTTAGAAATATCTTACCCTCTGTAAAAAAATCATTAAAACGACCATGGGCTCGAATCCTTTTTGTGTACTCAAAAAGTGAGTACACTACTAAAATCGGTCAGTGTGTCCGTCCGTCCGTTTATTCGATAACTCTTCACAATTACATTCGATTGAGCTGAAATTTTGTGCACAG